CATTCAGCTTTTTTCGGGTATTTTCCCATGTCATTGTAGTTGTGCTTTTAAAGTTGTAGCAACGTTTTGGCAGAATCTCATATGAGATTCTGCCGAAACGTTGCTACAACTTTAAAAGCACAAATATAGGTGGCCAAGAAAGGTCATGTCCAATTAAAATGTGAGCCAGTGTACAGCTGCAGTGGGGGGGAAATAACTTCCATACTGAAGGTCGTTATAAAAATATTTGTAAAATAAAACTAGTAGCTCTCTTTAAACAAAACTCTGATGCAAATACACTTAGGATACTCTGGTTACTACATTTGGGGACAATATTGCAGTCCTCTCTGAAACAGGTGATTATTTATAATTTAGTTTTTTTATTTATATATGTTACTTTCTGTTTTTCTCTATGAAAACTTGCAAAGACAGAGTACTTAAAAAAAATATTAGTAAGAGGAAGCCTGATACACTGTGGTGAAGTTTGTCTTGTGTCTTTTCTTAAAATCCTGGGGCCTTAGTTAACACAACAAAGCTGAATATTGGGAAATTTGGGCATGATAAAGGGAATTACATTTCCAGGATAAAGATAGATGTACTATGAAGTGTTGTGCTAGAATAAGTAATTGCCACCAATTTAGCTTTAAAATATATAAACGGTTAAGATCACACTATTATCGCACTATTAAAATCACACTATTATCTATGGATGCCAATGTATAAAACATAAGAACAAAAGTGCTTCTGCAGGTATAACCAGTATGCATTTTCCAAAGGTATGTAATTCACTTTTGTGGCAATCAAAAAAAATCTGAACTAGCCACTGGACCGCTGATCTAACAAGGTTTCTCTTATGCTGCTATGTATCCAGGCTGCCCTGAAGGTGCTTCAAATTGAACCTGAAGTGTCTGTGTCTCCACTATGTGTACTTCACGTTAGTGTAAAAAAGGATTGTGACAACTGCAAAGTCATTACTAATATGAGCCAATTCCTCTGACTGATATTAGTAGCTCCATTTCCCAAGGATTTCCTTGTCAAGTACTATCATGGCAACATTTCATAGAAAATGCCCTTTCTCCTACTGCTTTACAGATTACACAATGTCTAGAATCAGTACTTGTTTGGCAGGTATGGATGCTTGTGTGGGTGTTGCAGGTCCCAGCGTTGGCACTCTGTGCCTGACACAGTGTGATCAACGAATCCCCGATAATCCTCACCGTTACATGACACACAGACAACTGAAAGGCAAAGACAGAGTATTACTGTAAGAGGTATGTAGTAAGAGTGACTTAGAAGCTAGTCAGCCCTGCAAAGTTGTCCAAAACAGGAAAATGATTCCACAAGAAAACTAGAGCTATCCTTTATTTAAAAAGATTATAATAATTTGCAAGTCTGACTGCATTTCCCCTTCCTTCCTTCTCATACTTTGGGATTCAGGAGAAGCCAGTGTGTGTCTCTTTCTCATATCTTCCCTGTGCCCTGGGCTCCAAGCTTGTTCCTGTTGTTATCTTAGTGGCTTCTGGATAATTTCTCTAAAATCATCTCCATGGCTCTCTATACATCTTGACCAGAAGGTTGAAGGGAAGGTTAACTAAAAAAACTAATTTACATGAATGAACTAAGCAGAGAGCATGAGAATGCACACCAGAGATGATATTCAACAGGTTCTGCCCAGTTCTGGAGAACCGGTAGCGGAAATTTTGGGTAGTTTGGAGAACCAGCAAATACCACCTCTGACTGGAGATTTTATAGCATCCTTCCCCTACCACACCCACCAAGCCATGCCCACAGAACCAGTAGTAAAATATTTTGAATCCCACCACTGATGCACACATTCTGTACAGATCCCAGGATTGAACAAGAAAGAACAAATACATGACAACATTGGACAGAGGGAACACAAGAGACACCAATCAATACACATGTGCCAGCTAACAAAGTTCCATGGACATCAGAGGCCTCTGGAACAGTGGTGGGATTCAAAAAATTTTACTACTGGTTCTGTGGGCATGGTTTGGTGGGCGTAGCAGGGGAAGGACACTGTAAAATCTCCAGTCGGAGATGGTATTTGCCAGTTCTCCAAACTAATCAAAATTTCCACTAGTGGTTCTCCAGAACTGGTCAGAACCTACTGAATACCACATCTGCTCTGGAAACAAAACAGCACTTGGTCCTAGTTCAAGTAAATATATAGTTTAGGAAGAACCATCAATCAAGAAGATTATAGTAGTTTTTCTGATTATCTGACCCCATTGAACAAGTGTTCCTTGCATTTTGCTATATTGTCCACTTCCTTCAGAAACAAATCAGAACTTGGTCCACATAGTTGACCCATGTGGTAATAATCCACAAGGTAAATATCATTTTTCCAGGCTAGCATGAATATCTACTTTCATTATTGACAAAGGATTCTGTGGGCACTACTATTTAAAACTAAAAATAAATATCAACAGTACAAAAACATATAGTTATTCATTTTTGCAATCACATGTACTGCCTTCAAGTCAGTTTGACTTTTCATGACTGCCTAGGTACTAGACCAAAGCTTGTTTGGTCAAGTGATTAAGATGCTAGGCTAGAAACTGGGACACCCTGAGATCTACCTCTGCTTTAGGCACAACAGTTGCTAGGTAAGTTTGGGTCAATCAATCTCTCTCAATTTGACTCAATTCCCCTCACAAAGTAGTTGTTTTGGGAAAAATAGGAAGAGGAAGAAGTAGTATTATATGTCTGCCATCTTGAGTTATTTATAAAAATAACAAAGATGGGATTTAAAAAATCTAAAAAAAATGGAAGAATGCATCCCTGATCAATTAATTGTATGGGCTGGTTATATACAGTTATGTGTGCCCTGCAGACATCTTAAATCAATTACCATTTTCACATTTCTTGATGCCACAGCTTTGATGTCGGGTAGCAGGATCAGTTGTATAGCACCAGGGGCCATGCCGATCATTATCTGGATTCCGGCAATAATTTTCTTCCAAACCATTATATTGGGATGGACGAAATCTTAAGAAACAAAAAGACAACATGAGACAAAGAAACTGAAATTATCTCATTAGTATTGGTCTAGATTTCACTGCAAAACCATCACCCTCCAATTATGCAACTTCAGTAATGGTGGAAATCGTTGAAGTTAATATAAGCTGGCTTGTTTATTATAAATCAACAACCTAAAATGTCTCAATTTTTTGATTCTTTTTTAAATGTCAGATGGCTAGATGGATGGATGGATGGATGGATGGATTTATTTATTTTATAAAGGACATAGATGAGTAGAAAAACAGCAAGTAATGAGGCTTGGGAAGATATTTTTCTCTGTTGTCTACCCTCAATACCATGAGCTGAGAACTGGAATAGTAATGAGAGTTTATTCAAGAGAAATGAGAAACAGTGAAAAAGACTTATCTCCTAATTATGGTTTGGATGCATTGGTTTTCTGTTTGTTTTCTTGCTACCTACATCCCAATTCCTAGGACAGTGTGATGCTATTCTTGACAGGAATACAAAGCACCACACCCTGTCACTTATAAAGTTAGACCAAGCAAAGTAGATAGGCTCCCATACAGCCTCTGGCTTGCTTGATGGAGTAGCAATTTGGTACAGAGCACAATTCCCTAAGCCAGCTTTCCAATATGAGATTCTTTCCGGATGCATTAAAACTTCTGTTTCATAAAACCTGGTTAGCTTTAGAAAGCACCAACAAAGCCAAAGTGTGGTCACTCAGCTTCGTTGTGCATAGCATTATGACCATAATAAATGATATAGATTACTAGTGCAACAATTACCATAGCAAGTTATTCCTTGAAAAACTGCCCAATTATTGTTCTATTTTTAAAAAAAAGATATTCAGGTGGCATCTCTTTTGTCCTACTCTTCTCTCCTTCTCTTTGGCCTCAGCAACAATAATATAGGAAAGCAACACCTCCCTGCGTAGGCAGTACCCATTTCTTCTTATGTTATTTAATTGATGCATTTACACCAGTGTTTTCTAAGCTCAGCAACTTTAAGATGTGAGGACTTCAACTCCCGGAATTCCCCCAGCTAGCATGCTGGTTGGAAAAACACTGGCAGTCGAAATCCACCCACATGAAAGCTGCTGAGATCGATTTCCACCTTGCCTTTATTTGATGTATTTACACATTGCCTTTCAAGAAGTTCGAAGAGTGGCATACATAGATTTACCTGTGATCATGAGGAAACTTCAGCTGCCATCTTTGACATGTTTTTCCTTTTTCAGTCAGAGACTGGGTCCCTCTATAGTTTGCCCCATCTCCTATGATGCATTTCCTTACATAACCTGTGAAGTGACAGTTGAGAAATAACTACCTAACGTAAGATGGTATGGGAGTCAAAATAAGAGTGTGGGGCTACTTATTTGAAAATATGGTCACTGATGTATTTCATGTGATAAGAGCGTTCTGTCATGAGTTCAAGAAAAAGGAAGGCCACCCAATGAGTATTTCTTTTTTATTCATGTAATATGTGGATCGTCACCACTGGCCTTCTCTTTCTTCAGCAGATTGTCTGGAAAGGTTAAAGGATCTTTTGTCCCAGCTGTCCAATGCTGGGGACAGTGTGAGATCCAACCTTTTCGAAAGCTGGGTTGTTCTTTTATCAGATAATAGAGGCATATGGTTTTCTTGGCTATGAACAAGGCTGGCATCACTTAGATCTAGGAAGGAAAGCACACTAATCCAGGTGCAACAACCAATGTTGGGCCAAAAATCTTGCTGTTTCAAAGTCGCTGATGGGAGATAATGGGGAAAATGGCCCATCAGGATTCCCATTCAGTTCATAGGATCTTGAGCAAGACTTTACTCCAAAGTCTCAATCTGTCTGTCCCTTGCAGAAAGATAAGACTAAACAAAAGATTTATGGCACTTTCAATATGCTGAGGACTCTTGGGCTGCCTCCTATAATGACTTAACCGGGTATGTATGAAAAAAGGGGCCACATATGTGAACTTTTGCACTCACCACAACTGCTGTGGCAAAGGTCAATTTACTCCAGATGCCCTCCCAGATGTTGAGAGCAAGATGGAGATCGGACAGATACTTAGAGTTATATCAGATATTAAGATGGATGCGGGTGTGCACTCAGTTAAGCATATTAGAGAAGGCATTTGCTTGAGAGCCTAAAAATCAAAACAGGAGATGTGTGTCAACTGGAAGAACATTCTTCTCTAGTTTTGTTTCTCTAGCCTCTCATGCATGTGTATCCCTTCTCTCCTTTCAGCAACCCAAGTCCTAAATAAGCATCTCTATTTAATTTTTAGGTCATCAGGCCAGAGGAAGCACAAATGTATGTTTTCATTTTCCCTCTCTTATGCTATAGGCGTTCTCCCTGATCTTTCTCATGTTTCACTTCCACGGAGACCTTCAGCCTACCTTTCTTCTGGTAGAGATCATAATGAACATTCCTTTGCAACTGGGTATGTGGTGAATTTTGGGTCACAGTCAGCAGCTGGCATTCATAACGCTGCCAGTTGTAGTGAAAGGCTCTGGAAGAAAACATAGACAGCAGTCTCATGAGATACCTTTGGCATGGAGAATTGCTTGTTTGCCTAAACTTTTTGACTCTTTCTCCAACTTTCCTGCTCTTGGACATTGCCATATCTAGTTATTATCTACTTTGCCTGTTTTTTTTTTTTTAATATACTGGGCATATAATATTTTGTCTTGCCATGTCTCTTTTCTGTTCTTCATTTGGTCGTTTTTGTAGACTAGTTTGGACTTTTTGTTATTCAGTAAGTCTTCATGGTAGACTAATTTCAGTGCATCTTCTTCACTGTTTTTCCTCAACCCTCAATGTCTTATTCACAGCTCATACAGAGCTTGGCGTGTGTGCATCTATGTATGTATCGGGATGTGTGTGCAGCTAAGTACCCATGTGCATGTTGAAGAGACATGTATGCCTGAAGTGAAATTAACACATGAGACAAGTATCACTCACACCAACATTCTAATAAAGCATATGTTTTTCAAGTAAAGAAGAGTTAAGATTCTTCTGGATCAAGTCCATCTCTTAGGGACCACATAATATACACATGTCATTTTCCTGAGAGCAAAAGAGGCTTGTCACTTCTGAGAGATTTTTTTTTTGTCTTCCACCCTGAAGTTCCTAATAGTATCTCATTCAAATTTGAACTTGCTCAGGGTTTTTTCTAGAGCAAAATCAGGTGCATGCACAAAGTCTCCCAGTCAAAGATGTTGGGTAGCAGCTGGACTAGGAAAAGCCTTACAATGACCTTTTAAGAATTCTTCTGAATCTTGGGAAGAGCCAGGGTAAATTCCTGCTGGGATCCTGGAGGACTGCTGCTTCTTCAGAGGTACTACCAGCTAAAAAAGCCAATGCCTAACTCAAGGTAAAGCAATTGTCTGAGCTTATACTAGTAAACCCTGAAGCTCACCTGCCTGGAGCTATGGCTCCCCCCCCCCTTACCTGCAGTCCACCAAGGTGTTACATTGCCGGGCACATTCATCTACTTCACTGATCTGCTCCACACGCTGGTGAGACGAAGTAATCAGCTGAGTAGCCTTTAGTCTTTGGAAATCATTCAGTGGAGAACGGTGACCTGGAAAGCATAGAAAACATCAGTCATTCTGGATCTCTGCAAAGAAAACAGAATCAACTCTCAACAGAAAACAAACATAAGGATGTGCCTCGATAATATAGGATCCTGGTAGTCTTTAAGGGGGGAAATAGGAGAAAAACTTCGCCCAATTAAATCATAGTCTTTTCTAAGAATTTGAGAATTGAATGTCATCATTGTTTAAGAAACAGGAAATAGACTAAAGAGGACAGCTTAGCATGAACAAAGTTCCTTGGGCTCAAATGAGATGGTGCGATTCTTATATCCGAGACTTCTAGGCAAAGTGCTGTACATTTAACAGATGCACATCAAGTGGACAAGAATCATACATAGATGCTTTCCAGTGTGAGGATGGGAAAATACTGTATTTATTGCATTTCTGCCTCAGACATATTATTGCACTGGTGTTTTTTTATACGGCAAACCTAATTGCAGAATGTGTGGCTAAGAAATTTGAAAAAATGAGGTTTCTATTATTGCCAACAGACATTCAAAAGCTTGCCGAGAGCCAGAAAGCTTTACTTAATGAATGCTTGTCACAGATCTGTTAAAGGTCTCTTCCTTGTGGCTGTGTGAAAATTCTATCTACCAGTCCCTGAGTCTACAGCAGCAGCCCCCAACCTTTTTGGGCACCAGGGACCAGTTCCATGGAGAAAGGTTTTTCCTGTGGACCAGAGAGAGAGTGGTTTTGTGTGCTGCCTGCATCCCATAGATGGGGCTTCGCTTGTTTGCGTAGCCTGATTTCTGGCATGGTGTGGACTAGTGGTGCTCCACGGACCCGAGGTTGGGAACCCCTGGTCTACAGTAAACTTACTTTTTCTTCAAGTCAGTCTTGACTTCTGGCAACTAAAAGGACATGGCCATGCAATTTTCTAGACAACACTTTTGGAAGTGGTTTGCCATTGGTTTCTTCCTACAGCTGAGAGATAATGACTGGCTCAAAGTCATCCAGCTGGTTCCCTGCCTAAAGTAAGACAAGGACTCAGATTTTCTTGCTCCTGTTCCAGCATCTTAAAACACTAGACCTGTGTTCTCAACTTTGGCGACTTTAAGATGTCTGGATTTCAATTCCAGAATCATTCTCCGTACATTGGTGGATGGTGGAGTTAAGGTTGGGGAACGAGGGAAGTTTTGATAGCCCTCTGCCAAGGAATGTCTGGTTTGCCACAATTTTTGTGTGTGGGTGTACTCAAGTAGACATAGACTTTCTATATCGCTTTTGCCAAACCTCAGCTGTCCATCTTTCGGACACATGTTTTATGCTAGTTCTGAACACTGCTAAATCTATATTCTAAAGAAGCCCAACAGCAGCTTATGAGTAGAGAGAAAACTGTATTGTGATGCAGGAGAAAGTAAATCAGCTCTCTCTTTTCCCTTTCACTGTGCAGCCATTGTTGGTCATCTATTGTTCAGGAAGATCCAGAACTCTGCGTTGGGTGGTCAGGGGTCTGGTGAGTACATTGAATGAGTGACGCTGGTTTTAAAGAACATCATTCTCCCATTGTGCAAAGTAGAATGGAGAAGGTCAGAATGCACCAAGGGGCCAGAGGAGAGGGGGGGATATATCCATACTAATCTAGGTGGCCCCTTGGCCCTACTCTTCTAGGTGGGATCTAACTGTAACATCTACTAAGAGGTGGATGAAACTTGCTATACTGCACTCATGGGAAAAGAATGCTTCTTGCCTACATCAATGGCAACATGGTGAAACAACTAAATATGAGTTTAAGCTACTCTCAGATACCTCTTGGGGATGAGGGAAAGACAATGTCAGGATGAAGTGACAGAAAAAGCATTTCTAGTAAAACACCAATGGTTCTAGAGAGACGTGAGAAACCTCAACCAAGAAGGCAGAGGGAGATAACAGCTATTGCTCTGTCTAAAGAGACAGCCCTTAACAGCCCAGGATAAAAATGTCTGGTCATTATGCAGGAATGAAAACCAAGAGACTCTGGAGTTCTAGTCCTTCCTCAGGCATGAAAGCCAGTTGGGTGACTTTGGATCAGTCACTCTCTCAGCTCAACTCACTTCTCAGGGTGGTGGTTGTGGGGAAAATAAGAGGAGGAAAGAGTGTTATCCGTCTTGAATTGTTTATAAAAATAATAAAGGCAAGATAATAAAAAATAAAAAATACACTATCCATTAACATATGGACAGAAGTATCTCAGGGCAGAAAGCTTTGGTAAACAGCAAAGGAAAAAAGGTCCCTTCTGGGAAAAGATCCTGATTATTAGAACTTACAGTACAGAGAAGCAGCATCTTCTGCATTCCACAGAATTACTGAAACAAGAAAGAAGCACCCTGTGGAGATTCAGAGTGGGTGGGTGGGTAGATCCTCACCTTTGCTGGAGATGCAGAGCAACACAAGGATCAAGGCAGCTGTCGCCTGCATGGCTTTCTCCACCACACGCAGTCTTCCCAACATGGTCACCTAGATATGCCAACAACGCTATGTTTCCAGAAATATCCGGCAGGAAGCTGCAGCTGGCCAAATATTTACTTAGGGTTTGTGTGTCAGCAATAATTCCACAGCTTCAAAGCACCTGGGGTACGGTTGCCCATTAGACCCTCAGTACAGTGAGCCCTCAGAAGCAGTATTTCTCCAATTCTCTTTTTCCGCTCTGCCCCAGCTTCACAAAAGTTCCCAAAAAGAGACAATCACTCCCCAACTTCCCCCAATATAATGTAAAGTCAGGTTGGGAAATTGCTCTATATTAGTCCAAGCTGGCCTTGGATCAAGAGCCTTCCCCTTCCTGTCAGTGGTCAAACAATGGGACCGCCCTACAGTCTCACAGATCTTTCCTGCTGACCAAACCAAGCAGCAGAGTTGCCAAGTTACGGGCCAGCAGTCTTCTATGCCAGTGGTTCTCAACCTTGGCAACTTTAAGCTGTGTGGACTTCAATTCCCAGAACCCCCAGCCAGCACTGGCTAAGGAATTCTGTGAGTTGTAGTCCACACAGCTTAAAATGAGCACAATTGAGGAACACTGCCTTTAAACATTGGCTAAATGTGACCAATAAAGGAAAAGTAATATTTGCAAAAAGATGTTCAGCTTCCGTATACAAAGCAAGAATATCCTCACCTTTCCATTGCTGAGAAGGGGCTTCCCAGGGAACATGTACTTATCTTGGAGAAAAGCAGCTCCACTGATTTCTATCTTTTGGATGGAGATGAGTGGGGCATTATTTAAAATTAGAAATCCAAAAAGATCTAACATTCCTTAATAATAATAGGAAATACCCCGGTTATAAAGCAGTTAACGGCACAAAGCCATTTGCCAGATTACTTGTCTAACATTTTGTTCCAAAACATGTTTATTCAGAGATTCCACGCAGTTCCAGAGTATTTTTCCCCTCACATGTTATGACAGGCATCTCCAAGCTTTGTAAACAAGTGGAGATATTTAAAATTTAAGAACATGTCCTGGGTATTCCTCTGATCACGAGCTAATCACAGTAAACCTAGACAGAGAAACCTCTGTTTTATTTATTGCTTCAGTTCAAATACCGCATAATGGGATTCTATCATAATTAAGATACTAAACTAATTTAAAAATCCAGTTCAAGTTTTTGAAGTGTTTGTAAAATCCAGTTCAAGTTTTTGAAGTGTTTGTATTTTGGCAGAATCTATAAATATCCAGTCCTGATTTTGTAAGGGGCAGTATAGTTACACGCAGGATTGTAACAGGATACATTGGTGTCAGCCACAAACTTTGTTGTTGTTGTTCTGTATAATTTTTCATTGGACTTAAATGAATACATCTCATAGATACAGACTTAACAGGAGATATAATTAAAGTTTGTGAAGTGCACCATCCAGCTTCACTGCTTCCTAAGGCTGATTCACAAGGCCATTTTTTCCCAGATTAAGTATTGACCACTGACCATTTCTCAGGGGCAAAAGACAGTGACAATTGCAGGTGTGTATCAAAACCAGCAAGATGTCAGAGTATTGTGATGTTAAATCCCCCACTCCATTCCAACATATGTCAACATCACAGGCACATTCAAAAAAGGGTGGGGCTTTGTTCACAATCCTCAATCTGCCATCTTGCTTGATCTTGCTGATTTTGACTGCTCCTTGTGGATATTAAATAAAAAGCAACACATATCCCATTGCATATCAAAAGTAGTATTTCCAACTTGTGCCAAGTCAAGTAGCGCCATCTGGTTCTCCTGCCGTGCTTCATTTCATTATAGGCAAATATCCCACTCCAACTGGTTAATGTGTTGGGTGTAGCAACATTCTCTTCCCTCTGGTCATTGCCTTCATTGCTTTTTCTTTTTCTTTTTTTTTTAAAAGATAAATACATCAATGGAATGTGAGTAGCTTTTTGTTGCTTTTGTTTAGAAGTTGGTCCAGTGGAGCTACAAAACGGGCCTGCTTCATTTATATACCGTGTATATGTATATAAAAATTGTGCCTGAGACAAAAATGTCTTTCATTTTACTGGAAGCTTAAAAGAGGCTGGACTGACATTCAGTTTGCAAAGGTGAATTAGCATAGCTATGTTCACCTAATCAAATCACTGGTGTACTTCTACACTAAAGCTTAAACACAAATGTTAATTTATTTATTTTATTTATTTATTTGATTTGCCAATTGTTTACAAGATAATAAGTATAAGTGTATACATAGTTGTGAATACATGAAATGGGTACATATAAGAAAAATAAAAGAATAAGAGAAACAATAGGACAGGGACGGTAGTCACATTGGTGCGCTTATGCACGCCCCCTACAGACCTCTTAGGAAAGGGGTGAGGTCAAACAGTTTTTATAGTGTGCCAATTCTTGGGTAGATTAATTTAAGCAAAGCAGAGAATGAACTAATGATTGAGCACCACTGATATCATGATCTTTCTTAGCTCTGGGTTCATCAACCGCCAGATGCCAGCAAAAAAATAAAGGATGCTTTCCATCTTCATTGCCAGACACCTTTCCAGCCTCAGTGACCTTAATGATTATATGCATTTGATTCACTAATATTCTCTAATGAGATACTTAGTGATTCCCTCTCATAACTGGCCTGCAATCATAAACCATTTTATTAAACAAGATAGTCCTTGTTTAGCAACTGCAATTAGGAATAGCAACTTGAAGCAGTCACTAAGTGAACCATTAATTTTACAATTTCACATCAGCTTTCCTTCATTTTACAGACCTGCAAAGATAATAAATGGAAAGACTGTCATATAATTATATTTTCATCACTGTCCTGTGAACAGTTGCTAACTGACTCAGTCACTAAACAAGGACTACATATCTCTTATTTATATAGAAGGATTGTGAGAGAGACAAATATGCTTGAGGCTGGATCGTTTTGCTGCACGCAAGGTTATTTTATTATTTTAGTAAAAAAAATTCTTAAAAAATAAAATTAAGTAAGACAGAAAGCTTGGCTAAGCATATCAAATCTGGGCTACAAAAAAGTGGGACAACTAGGAGATTGCAGCTGTAGAAAGTTAGCACCCACCCCACTCCTAGAAGAATGAAGTATCTTGAGAAATATTAGAAAGGCAAAATATTATATTTCCCTTGATGAGAAATGGAGAAACACGCTCTTGGAAAGCAGCTCCCACCTTCCTTAATAGCCCACAGCAGATGTCAGCACTTAAGAGATAAAGAGATAGGTAGCTCTATTCATAGGCAAAAATTCCCTGCAGCAAGGTCTGAGCAAAGGTAGGATTAGCGCTCAGCCATAATAGGAGTTGCCCAACACCCTTTCAGAACACAAGCTCCTTTATTGCATCATCTCAGTTACACCACACCCTCCAAACGTCAACCAAACCTGGGAGCTCAGACAACCTACAGAGCCAGCTATGATCCCTACAACAGCCAATAGAATACATGTTCTTGCACTGGAACAGGAAGCTTATGTTCAAAGCCCAAGAGAAGGTATAAATGCCCCTCACTCTCAACTCCATGTGGTCAGCTGCCCAGAACCATATGCTTGGTGGTTCTGCTTCACCATTAAACAATCTTTCCAATCAGTCTCCAGTGTCTTTCTCCTGGCTTGGAACTGAACCAGATGGACATTTCTTCCAACACAGCAAAGACTGGAGTATTCTGTACTTTTTTGTTGCCAATATGCGGTGTGGGATTAAGCCGGTTCACACATGTTCGGGAGAACCAGTAATTAACTTTCTGAGTAGTTTAGCGAACTGACTATTGGAAGAAATCTCCTTCCAACAGCATTTTGTTTTGCCCACTTTATGGTGTTAATCTTGTCAGGAAGGCAGGAAGGAGGCATTCTGATGTGCTTCTGTGTGTTGTTTCTAGCCTAATCCTGTTTATCTTTATTGCTCTGCTTAAGTGTTTTCAGAAACTGCCTCTGCTGTTAAGCCTTGTTCTGTTGTAACAGCTTAATGGTTCTTGGCAGTATGCCCAGACTTTCCATAGCAGCTTCTCTGGAGTTTTTTCCCCTTTGCTGGTACTTTTATTCTTGACTTTCTTAAAGGGGAAGGGTTGTTTTAAGCTTTTTACACTGCATTAGTGGTTCCTGGTACTGTCCTTTTGGGGTGTACTTCCAACATGGCTGAATCCCCTCCCAGTCACTTCTTGCCTGTCCTCAATTAAGGGTGGGAGGTGGTGATCATGGGCCTCTTTCTTCCCTAGATGAGTAATCTTCTCTAAATGGAGCTATCTGGCTAGTCTTTGGCTCCTTTTGTTACCAAAAAAAAAGGACTTCAGGAGATTTTTCCCCCATCCCACTGAGGGGAAAGCGATGAGATAATCTTTTTGGACCACCGCTTCCTGTCTGTTCGAGTTAAGCAGTGGCTGAGAGGCAAGATGCAAGCTTGGCACTCTGTCTGATGTTTTTACTGCCTTTCTGGAGGCATGTGATCTTTCCTTAAATCTGGATGGTTTCCTTTGGATATTGTGGGAAGTACACCCCAAAAGAATAGTGCCAGGAACCATTAAAACAGTGCAAAAAGACTTAAAACAGCCCTTCCCCCTTTAAGAAATTCAAATCCCAAAGCAAAAGCACCAGCTGAAAGGAAAACTCAGAGCAGCCAAAAGCCATGAACAAAACTGATCACAAAAACACTTAAGTAGAGCAATAAAGCAGGATCAGGCTAAAAATAACTCACTGAGGCACACCAGAACACCTTTTTCCTGCCTCTCTGACAGGATTAACCCTTAGGATAAAAAAAAAGATCCAGGACCAGAATTAACCCATTAAAGCAGGAAAAACAAAACCCAGGGCAATCACCTCAACTAGAGGCACATCAAAACCCATCAAACAGCAGGAGCTTCAAAGGAAAATTAAGTATAAAAAGGTATAGGCTTGCCATCCCAATCTGCTAGCTAGCAAGAAATGCCTGTGTTGAGTCACTACATCCTCTTGTCTTCCTGAGGATTCCACTTTCTGGCAGCTTGCTTCAGTGTCCATTTCTTCTCAACACCGGTGACTGCTTCCCAGCTGGGGAACAAACCAGGAGATTTCTTCCAACAATATCTCGTGAGGTGAGTGAGATCGGCTGGTATCTTTAAGTGGTGCAAATGGATCTAAGGATTGCTTCTCCTGGGTGGGAAAGGGTGCTTTGTCAGTTCACTGAGCACAGGAGTCTCTTGCCTACAGAGATTCTTCAGTCATCCAGGTCATGGTTGTCCCAAAAGTGGTTTTTTCAAGAGGCAACTGGATTTTCTTGGTTTCCAGA